GAACTACATCGAAGAAAGATTTAAGAGAACTACATCCAATTCCAAGATCTAAACACAGAAACTATATGGTGATACCATTCTAAAACAAATACGGCAAGACATAGAAACATAAATGAATAAGGAAATGCTTAAAAGTTAGAACACAAAAACAAAGATACAAATAACTGCAGATCACGACAGTCTGTGAACAGATGGACTGAATTTTGCAATCAAAAAGTATATGCAGGATTTTATCGTGTACCCTAATGTGGCTCAGTCATTTCTTTGTTGGTTCAGCTCCATGAAACGGGTGGACACTAGTATTACTGGGTATTGTATGGATGTATGAAGGATGACAGCACACAGTCAAGCTACCTTAGCATAGCATCAGGGCAGGAAGAAGCGGCTATGCCCTTACTTTGCAAAGAAACACAATCTTATTACCAAAAGAAATATCAACTTTATTCCAGGTTTGTAAGTCAGCACAATTTGGTTAAAGTTTATCAGAAAACAATGTAACTTATTTGTTTGACCCTAACAAAACATCTGGTCAACTGTTTCCACATGCTATTTCTTTTGTTGCTAAGCTAAGCAAAATACTTTTCTTACATTTAGCTCACAGAAACCTTAGTTTCACACAACCTTAAAAACTTAAGAGTAGGTTAATCCATTGACAGAGGGAGTCCCCCCCCCAAAAAAAAAAAAGAAAAAAAAAGTGTGCTGCTTGCTCTTCGGCTTAAAAATATATTCCCACAAAAACACGTTTCTTTTGGCCAACATTTCAACATGAGCCAAAAAAAGCAATTTTATTCTTTTATTGTTACTGTTGTTGTAGTTTACTTTCTGAATTCCTCAGTGTAACCTGGGCAGATCAATGGTAAAATTTAATATCACAGTTCAGTGATCAAAACACTGAACTGTGATATCACCGAAAGGTCGTGATAGAAATCGACAGAAAGAGACAACATAGAAAAAAGGATTGAGTTCGACGCAGAGCGCAGGTGCAATCATTGTTGTTGAAATAGGTCAAAAAGGTGACAGCTTTGGTGGCTGATGCACGTCTGTGTCTCACTGAAACTGAAATATGACCATGTCTGCAGAAAGTCCTGCATCTTCTTTTCACCTTTTAATTTTGCTTCTGTTTTGTAGCAAATGTCTTCTTGTGTTGGATTTTTTTCCCCTCTGCCCAACTCACTGTATAAAATGTAAGATTGGATTAAGAAAATCAGCACAACATCAACTGAATTCACTTCAGGCCTTTTTTTTTTTTTGACATCCTCTCTACGGTTGCCAATGAGCCGCAATTCCGACTTCTTATTCCCTCTCTTAAGGTCTTTCATTATTGTCATCTCGAGGTCTCAGTGGACAAATCAAACTCTTCCGCCACTCAGCCATTGAAACAGGTGATGCCTAATTAATGCTATAAGTGACCTGAGCCCTCCCACCATGGCTGGCGTGCAACGGCAGACTGACACGCACGCAGCCAAAACGCTGCGTCTCCAACAGATGAAATGCTGTGGGGAGTTAGCGTTACACATGGACACACACGCGCTTTGGTTGGCACAAACCAATATAATCTGTGTTTTCCAGCACATAAGAGTCTCTGTTGCACTCGACACAGTCACAGAGTGGCATCGACAGCTGGAGGTGTCGGTGTGGTCAAGCGAAATACTCCACACATCTGCGCAGCGGCTCAGGAGCGGAACAGCGGCTCAGTGAGAGAGAGGCCGGCAGAGTCCAAATAGAGACGACAAGAAAAGGGAAGTGAGAACAGACTGACGGCGGAAAGCAAACGGCGAGGCGGACCGTTGACCTTCACGCCAACCGGATTGCGCCGCTAGCGAGGCAGAAGTTTCGAAAATAACTCGTCTTCTTCCACAGCGCGTCTACCCGCTCTATCTCCACATCCATTTCATTTTCTCTCTCTCGTTCATCCATCCACACTTTCTCTTTCGTTTCCTCTCACTTGGGGAGAGAACACAATCTCTCCATCGCTGAGAGCCCTAATTACAGTGGATCGGAGAGATGAGACGGCACTTGCTGAGAATGTGCTGGGAGTGCTTGTAATCCAGCGGAGACAGATGTGTTTTGCATTATTACAGCGAACTGCTTCTCCACCGTCTCTGGATGTTAATTATCAAAATTGTCAATGTGATGTCGAGCAACATAACACATTTTTACTTACGTTTTCATACATATATTTTTTTAGGCTTTTGCAAACAACTGCTTACCATTGTACTGTCAAAAAAGGAAGACGTGATTCTTCCCAAGAAAGTGGAACTTATAGGACGACGGATGATCTGTAGTGAGAAAGAAGTTGCTTGCTCATTATTTTCCCCTTAAAGTTCATTGCAAGCATTTCGCTAAATGTGTGTATTCATGCAGAAGTCATTTGCCGCGCAGCAAATTAGAAGCTTTAAGTGTAGTATTAATGGCGAATAAATGTTTGATTTGATTCTGGTCAGATGGATGGAGCTGATTATGCGTCATTAATATTTTGCTACCTCCTGTCCAGAGCTAAAACTTCTCTTTTTAAAGAGGCATAAAGCAGAGATAGAGCGATGAACTATAAAATCCAGTCCAACGGCGACACAACATCCCACAGTGAGGGTGCAGCAGAGTATTCCTGTTGGTGCCAAAAAAATGATACTTCTGATCTAAATACATGGATTGAATGAGCATTAGAGTCAGTGAGAGATGGATCTATATGAATCGAGGCAAGAAAAACCCAGATCCAGAAAGAGAAGTTTGATATAAGTTTGATGAAAGAAGAGCGCATGAAGCCCATGGCTAACGCATGAGGAAAGAGGGACAGGTGGTTGCTTGCTTCTTGCAAAGATGGAAAACAATGTTGAGCGAGGTGGAGGAGTAGCTGAGAAACATCCAATTCTGGGTTTTTTCCCAGAGCTCAGAGTCTGGATAGAGAAAGATATTCTGGGTCACCAAAAGTGATGCAGGAGGAGATCCGGTCGCATTGATCAGCATGAAAACATTCAGCTTGACCTGCTTATCGCGTATAAATGATAAATCCATAACATCCTATCACTGAAATTAGATCGAAAAAAAAATTAAAGAAATGGTAACAAGGATTTTGCCACAGTCTTTTTTTTTTCTTCCTCATGTGTGATGACATTTTAAAAGTCATTAACATAAGCCTAACACACGCGCACCCCTCCTCTGCGATGTGTTTAGAAATATGGGGGTGTTGTGCTGATTCCCACTGCATATTTGAACCAGTTACATAAGCACATAATCACAGAGAGATGTCCAGATTTCTAAAGATAAGCTTGCAAGTTACTTAGCAACCTCCACAAAGCAGGGACAAGCGAGCAGGTGATTGCCAATTTCTCCCTGGCCAAACTCTTTTAATTATCACAACAAGGCCCGCACTTCAACACCGCGGCTATTTTTATCCTTGTCACTGGGTGCGATTTGTCATTATTCAGCTGCATGAAAGCACGCCGGGCTCTCAGCAGACCCTTATTCATCAAAAATATTTCATGAAATGTTGGCAGCTGCTTGGTGCGACCTGCCACAGATGAACCACAGGCCCCCGTTTAGCTCTGCAGTCTGTGTTTTTTGGGCGTGCTGAAATTATGACCAAGTTAGAAACACTTGGTTGGCGTGATCTGCTTTGCACAAAATCCCCAAAACCCACTGGGCAGCCCGGGTAAATGTCATTGTGTGCTCTTTTAGCACCATGAAATGACACACACACACACACACCCACACACACACCACACACACTAAACGCAAAGGTTGAATTGTTAATTGCATTCACCTCCTCACTGTTGATTCACACTTTCAGGTTTTTGTCTTTCTTTCTTGTTTTGTTGGTTCTTTTATTTCAAAGCAGCCCACAACCTAAATTTAATTAACAAGTAAACGTCAAATAAGGTCACTGCATTCCTTTCTTTTTTTTTTTTTTTAAGGGATAAACGGATAAGACTGCACTGAATGCATGCCAGCTCCAACAGCTGACAGCTGTGCAGCCAGAGGGAAATCTCTGCAGACTAAAGGCCAATAGTGTTGGTATCTTTCCAAAGCTGGACCTGAAAGAATTGTCTGCCAAAAACATCTTGTGATGTGAAGACACTCTTTTTAGTCCAAATGGGTTTCAGTCTTGACTTTTGGTGTTGGAAGCCGGGAGCCAACTTGGTTGCAGCTCCCTCTTGTGGTGGCCTACATAGCAACCAAGCTCTCCACTGGCATGGAGGAAAAGCGGGGGAAATTTGTTTTTTTTTAGCTTAAAGGCAAGTCAGAGATTTGCCTGTATTTAAAAACATCTAGATTAGGTGGGTTGTCAATATCTATGAGAGGCAGAAAAGTGGGAAATGGTGCACTTGGTTCAAAAGTAGTCATCCATCCTTTCTCACTTCTTGAATATTTGGGTTGTGGCTGTGAAACACCAAGAGGGGAAACCGCGATTCCTGAGACTGAGCCCGGCCAGCCTACAGAGGAAACTCACTTTGGCCGCTTCTGTCCAGAATCTTGGGATCAGTGTCCACATTCATGAATGTAGTTGAGGATGGACTGGAAAATTCAAAGATTTGCTTTACATCGCAGGATGTAAAGCAAATCTTCAATCCCCCCCCTCCTAAATTTGTCTGTGCATTCATGAACACCATCCTACCGTCATTCATGAACAAGATACTTGAACCATTCTTCTAGATTCATCTGACTAATTTAGCGAATTAGCCTTAGAGTAGTAACTCATTTTATGGTTAGGCATCTTATGAAATAAAGTCACAGTAGCACTGCAGCACAGCTGATGGCGACAGGAAGTCAGAAAAGCAGAGGTCATGAATTAGGAACTTGCATAACCAAAATTAGGTTATGAAAGTGAAAGTCAAATTTGTGATTGTCTGTTTGTTTGTTCCTAACCTTGTTGTTGCCATTTCACGATGACTTTACGGTGCATTGTTTTCAACGTTGACACTGCTTTGGACGCTGACATTTTATCTGCATTCACTTCGTCAATGAGACGCACTTAATTTGGCCTCTGCTCTGCTCTTTGGCAGTTACGGGGACCACGTCCAGCATTTCAAGGTGCTGCAGGACCGCTGCAGTCAGTACTACGTGTGGGACGAGGCCTTCTCCTCCCTCAACGAGCTGGTGGAGTTTTACCACAGCAACAGCATCGCTAAAGAGAGGACGGTGTTTCTGAGAGACCCCGAGCAATTCGCCAGGGTGAGCATACATGACTCAATGTTTCTTTCTTTCTGCCTCGCTTTTATTTAACCATGGCAACCGTGGACATTGATGCTTTTCTTCAGCATCTCAAGCCCAATTTGAACAAGTCAGTTCAGAATTTTAAATGTATTTATTGTCTTAAAAAAAAAAGCCATCTGCATAAGTCTGTAGACTTCATTTTTTTCCACTACGCTCACCAAACCATAAAAAGAACATCTGCTCCCATCAGCCACCTTCATCACACTTCTTTGCGCTCACACTCGTCAAGGATCCGATGAAACTTTGCGACGCAGTAAAGTAATTACTGCCTGATGTCCCGAAGGTGTAAGCAAACACGCAACTTACAGAGTTCATTTCTCATCTCGCTCCAACTTCCAGGCACGAGCTTTAAGTAATGGAGCTGACAGATCCAGGAGCGCTCCACATGCTCGGCGACTGCAGCGGCAGAGTTTGATCCAAGAGGTGCTGCCTGTAATGAAAGATCACAGAAATCATTCAGTGTCCGTCGCTGAGATGACTGAACGCGACACGGGCGAGGAAAAGCGATTTTTTTTCTCAGGGGCTCGCTCGCATTCGAAAGAATAAATTAGCTCCCTATATTTACACTTCAACACATTCCCCCCTCCTCCAGGACTCCCACTGTCAGACCTTCTTCCACTCCTTCATAGACGCATATAGATGGATGTGTGCAGTGGCGTCCCCTTGGGGAAAGGTGATGATTAGACTGGCGTTAGAAGTCAAGCTGGCACTGCATGGCAGCTATTCCTGTCAGTGGCAGCGAGCTGCACCCGCAGGCTGACGCAGTCACCACAGATGCTTTTTGATCCGCAGCGGTGCTGAGAGCGCGTCGGTGTCGCTCTAGCAATGTCAGCGTGGAAATACTCATCAGGTTACTTTTATTCCTCTTAGCTGACATGCGAGATCAGGACCCGGCTTGTTGGAGGTAATTTATGAAGTGGCTGCTGTATGCACGTCTACAGGGGGGGTTGAATGAAAAGGGTCCGCTGCCCTCGTGGAGAAGTCTGGGTTTGCATTAGGATGAATTTGTGCCTTTTGGCCTTGTTTCTGTTGGTTTAGTAGAAGTTGTGTTTTATCCACAGGGGAAAGATTTGCTCTGAAGATAAAAACAGGCAGGAGCATGGGATTCAATTTAAATCAGTTTACTTGTACAGTTATACAGCGCCAATTCAGACTATATATTATATATGATCACTTTATAATAAAATCTGTTTGATTCAATGACAGATACATTCCTGTTGATCATAGTGGTCAAGCAGCACAGTGAGATCAGTTAGTTACTTTAAGTTTCTAGCTAAGAAAAACATATCAGACCCAGGATGATTCATGTGGTTTGGAAAAACTCCATTTAGATGGCTACTTAGGTTTTGGATAAACTTTCAGAGTGTAATGTAGGCCTTCTGGATACTCTGAAATATATAATCCACTTGGTCTTAATGTCTTCCTCTCTTCTTTTTGTCCTTCCTCTCTTAAATATTTTCTTATACACCCTCCGCTTTTCTTTCCTCCTTTTATTGTTTTCTTTTTGTCTCCTTGCACCTATAATCTCTCTTTGCATCCTTGTTTCTTCCTTTTTTTCTTTTGGTACTCCATTCCTTCTGTGTTCTTCCTCTTTTGCTTGAATGTGTCCTTATTTCCTTCCTTAAAATGTTTCATTTGTGTGTTATTTCTCTTTTCTTTGTGTCCTTTTTTATTCTCCTATCTTCCTTTTTGTGTATCTTGTATACAGCTCACCTTGCTTTAAATTCCTTGTCTTTATATTTAATACAAATATTATGTTGGGGAAATGCTTTTCCAACTGCATGCTTCGATCGGTCATTTCATAAAATCACTTTTATTCATGTTTAAACATTCCTTAAAACAACTTTAACCTTTACCGCAGTAGCTTAATCTCGACTTTACATTGAATTGATAAAAAAAAACAAACGTGTAACTTTCAATTTGAGGACATTTGCTAATGTTTGTATGAATTAACATGGTGTGACAGTGAGGCTCAGCTCTTTTAGCAAGCGGCTACGCGCCTGAACAATGACCCATATTTATCTTGCCACCTCCCACAGAAAGCAGGACGGAAAGGATGTGAAGAAAAACAAACAAAAAAACCCCCTTAAAACTGCAGCAAGAAGCTTCATGCTTGGGTTACTAAGTATCCCTAGCAAGTATTAGATTCTGTCTACATGGTAGTTTGTTTTCATGTCTCCTGTTTCCCACCATCACAAATGTAGATGTGTAGTGTTCGCTGAACTCCACTGGCATTTTCGCTGCAGCCGCACTTGAGGAGAGTGTTTCAGATGACAAAACAGAAAAGCTCCCTGCTCAAACTTTTTACTTTTTTACGTTTCTCCTTAAGTTGTCATCTTGTCTTTGAAAATGATTCGAAAGAATATGGAAAAATCAGCACAGGGATGTAGCCTTCCTCACATAATCAGCCTTTTTCAACAGCCATCCAAGCGTGCAGAGCTATATAATAAAAGCAGTTATTCATTTAAACAACCGAAAAGTGTGAGATTACGCAAGAACATATTTATTTACGTTTTGACGTTTTGTACATCTTTACCATGGCTGTAATAAAATATATCACAATGATTTGCTCAGAGTCAGACAACCATGTTGCTGCACTCACTTTAAGTCAGGGTCTAACAGCAAGTGACAGGCAACATAAAGGTCACATGATTCACGAGAGCTCCATCTCCTACACTCATGATGATGAGCTAATCATGCTGGTGCCAAATACCAAATATAAAATCCCTGTTTTTCTGTGCGGTCGCCTCTAACAGAGCACAGAAGACCAGTTGATTTTACGGTGATTAACTTTGGTCTCATAAACCCGAGGGAGGCAGGGTGTATTGTTAAATTAATCCCTCCTGTAACACAAATCCATTTTCTCCTTGGATTTGATTTGGATTTTAATGAGGGAAAAAAAAAATGATCCGAAGAAAATATGGATTATTAGAGAAGGCAAATTAGCTTCTCTGATTTGATCCATAATCCAGTTGATGCGATAAAAAGTTCATTTGTACTGTAGGATGGCTGCGTGCACATCCGTAGCAACATCTCTTGCTCTTAAAACAGCAAAAAAAAAAAAGTCTATTTTTGGCTTTGTGCGTGACAGCACGGGACGTTTTCATTGCAAATTGGAATAACTTTCAATGATGTATGGCAGATGTAAGGCTTGTTAGGGAGGAGTAGCATCACGATCAGCGGAGCAGGTCGTCAACTGAACGAGGAAGCAGAAACTGCACAGAATGTTGTGTGCCTGGAGACGGAGGCAGTGACGTTACTTACCCTCGGCTGTTTGTGTTTTTTTGTTTGTATTGTTTGTGTTTTTTTTGCCATTTCCGTTGCGACTTTTACCGCTGGCGTTGGTGACGGATAAAATGATTTAGTCCAGATCATGGAAGACATGGATCTGTTGCAAAACGTCTGTTCCATCTGGTGCACAATCTGAGATACATCACTGTGGGACTTGTTTCGACAATTTTTTATCGTTTACAAAGGTTACCACATAAAAAGGCCACAGAACTTGTAACGTGACTTGACTCACTGCTCATGCAGTTCCCACACTCTCGTCTCTTGGCTTGGCTTACGAGAAAATCTCAATGCAAACAGCTGTTATTTTAGCTGACGGTTGTTCGTGGACTGGAACTACCGGTTCTGGCTCGGGTTGCTGGATGTCTTGGTGGCTCCTACCTTTGAATCTAATCCATGTTGATTACAGAACGAAATACTTCCACAGAAAGTGAGACGAACATCTTGGACCGTCTCTCATGATGCTATGTCACAACGAAAGTTGTTTTCACGTTTCAAAAATGTAATCTACTCGTCGGATAAACATGCATTTCAAGGTCAAGCGCCTTAAAATGCATGTTTGAAAACAATAATCGAAACAATAATCGAAACAAACCTTGAAAACAATAATCGAAGTTTAAAGTTACAACAAATTTGGGATTTTTGGGAACCTTTATCAAATTTCTGAATCATCAAAATTGGATGACATATAAAAAGAACCAAGAATTTTGTGTCAACGAAAGCAGAAAAAGACTACAGGGGAAATCTCTTCACTTATATCCTCTGAACAAGACAAACATAGTTTTGCTTTTGTAAATCTGCTGCACATGATTTACATAAATTGTTATGCTAAAATAAATTCTTATAACAAGCAGGCAAAGAGGTTAAAAATACTTGAACTCCAGTCCAAAAAAGCAAACAGGGGTCGGCTCCAGAGAAAACATGTCATAACTCATAATAATTGAAGATTTTTTTTTTTTTTAACCCACTCGCATCTTCCTGAACCTTGTCAGGACAGCGTGTTTCCAAAGCAGCTCAAAAACACGATCCACATATATCAAGGAGCCTTGTCTGTACTGATGCCATCTGTTATTTCAGTCCTGCAGATGCGTCTGGCCGCAGCTCAACATTTTTTTTCCCTCCTTTCGATATCAACCATGGCTCCCTTTGGAGTGCGTGCAGGAAAAGGAGAAGAAGGGAAAAGGCGCTGGTGTAGCCCGCAGATAGCCAGTCACTACGGCTTTGTAGCATTTCAAAGATGATCGGATGAGGAAGCAATGTTGGAAGAGTTTTTTTTAGACTAAACTTTGTTATAAAATGTATCCTCTTCGCCATTTAATTTGTATTCTGGGTCTATAAAATGGGGGAAAAATGTAGTAATAACTGCAAAGAGTATAGAATGTGTTGAATACAGGGCCTGTAAGCTCATCTGAGGATGATCCACATATATTGATCTTTGAGATGGGGGAGATTTGCTGCAGTAAATCTGGTCCCTCAGACTCAGACAGCTCTTTTCACCCCAATGTTATGAAACGCAAGTTTTGTGACATTTAGAAAGGCTGGACTTAAGCTTTCCATCAACTTTTTTAAATCCTGCATTTTCTATTTCAGATCTAGTTATTGATATGCAATAGTAAGAGTGAAATAAAGGGCTTTTTTTGTTTTATTTTGTTTTATTTTGTTTTCCCAGT